CGGATGCGCATGCCTGTTATATTTCCTCAAAACAAACAGGATGCAACTACTGTTACTTCTGGCTTAGAAACTGACCTATCTCAGTTACTGCATAAGTAAGATAAAATCGTAAAAATCGTTGGCTCCGACTCGTATTTAATTAAGAGTGTCACTGCTAGTATAATCAAATATAGTTTAAAGGCATTCGACTGTTACTCCAAATGCTCATTATCAATTCCAGAAGAAGACAATATTGTATGTTTATTATCACCTTTGTTTCTTGTTCACTTTTATGTGAACTACTAGAAGTTAATTCTCACGAAAAATTATCGCATTCCCAGTGCGTATTTTCGTTGTGTAACGTAATTGGCTCATTCGTGGCACGAATCCCGGTGAGGACACAGTTACTATTTAAAGTTTCCTAGCTCAAAATAAATAAATAAAATAAAATCTGAAAGAAAGATGTCAGATTTTATATTACGCCCAAATGGTCTTCTTCTTCTTTTTTTTTTTTTTTTTTTTTTTTTTCATTTACAGACACATACACGTTTCGAGAGCATCTGGGCTAACGCCCCCTTTGGACTAAAAATATTTAAAAACAGCATATCTTTAAAATTTTCGATAGACAATCGCGCGAGCTGGAAATAAAAATGTTCCTGCTTGAAGTTTCCTGCTTGAAGTAGGCCTGCTTGAAGATATTCATTGCCTTACTCAGATAGCCCTTGTGTGCTTTGCCATATTATACTATTCAGAAACAGTAATTTGTCAGAAAGAGAATCACATGCAATAATTGAGTCTGTCGGAAGTGAAATAAATAAAACCGTAAAAGATGTACACAATATTTCACGATACCTCTTTATATACATTAAGCTACAAATTTTAGGTCTGAGTGTTTAGTCAAAGCGTTAAGTGAATGTTTAAATCACTAGAAAAGCGACTGAACAATACCTCATACCTTTAACCCTAACCTCAAGTTTCGTGAAAAAAGCAACACATTAAATAGTAACATTAACTCAAGGTATTGCTAAAAATGTCTATTGAATAAAATACACGACTGGGTTTAATTTATTGTGAAAATATATATAGAAAGGGCACGTATATATGTCATCACGGCAGCTGGTTACGTAGAAGCTGTGCAGTTTCAAGAGCAGACGATAAGAAATATCTTAAAAGATCTCTATATACTCCAGATAGTTTGTTAATGCAGGATATGTTCTAGGCGTCATGTAAAAAGTCGGAATTTGACAAATAAACCTTATTTTTTCTGTAAGTGTTGTAACACAAAATGGCAGCTGCCCATCTTGCTTCGGAGCTTATTGTATCGTAGAAGGAAAAACTTGAATGTGGAAAATCTCCTGCAGGTTTTTAGTATTAAATACTTTATTCTGTAGGCCATCAATGATGTGCACATTGTTAACTGGTACACAGATAAGTATTTGGCTCCCTGATGTAGTCTCAGCTGAAAGGGAAGTAAAAAAATAAAAATCTGGGAAAAAAATTCATAAATGAGAGCTTTTTACAATAATCCTTGAAAGCTTTCATGTGATGCTTGTGAAAGTGCTTGCGCAAAACCTTTTAGATTGGCATTATTTTCAATGGAAAGAACTGATCATTGCATGCGTTAACAGAGGAACACTGATAGCTTAGCTTTATCGAAAAATGTTGCTTTCGTCATCTATTCATCTACTTTATTCATCTACTTAGATCATAGTCTTCGTTGATGGATAGTAATGTTCGCTCCATTTGATTAGTTCTGCGATATCTGGAAAATGATAAGTAATCAGGCTTACAAGTTAATGGGCAAGGACTCCCAGTGTAAATCAATGGATAAATATTTATAGACGCTTTGATGAAAAATGTCCATGTTTCTTCCAAGTATGCAGGTATAAATAGCGATTTTTTCCAGAATCCTCAATAAGGTTAAAGAATTTATCCAAAATCATTATTTGTTAAATTGACTCAGATCGAAGACGACGTAACCAAAATTTACAAATATGCACCTTACCGCAGTAATGCAATTACATTAAACTTTCTCCTTCCTACAAGTTTTAATTTAAAAAAAAATGAAGTAAATGCTCACAGTAAGCATTTCCTTACTTCTTTCTTAGATAGTTTGGGCAGTTCTACTGAAATAATTGATTTAGATTGCAAAGACAGAGAAAAAGAGTGGTCTTATCTAATCTGCGCAGTCGCATCTCACGAAAGTAGAATACTGAGTTTTTGTGTGATTTATGCTATTATAATTCACGGAGATTTTTGAGATTTGACCTTTGAAACTGTGACGTAAAATCTCCATCTTAATCTAAACCTTTATTCCTTGGCACACTACGGGGGGAAAAAAAAGTTTAATGTGTTAGTCAGAAAGGGATTCTCTTTTTGTTATAATTTCGTACTTTTGTTTGCAGCAAGAATGTGATAATGAAATACTTCTAAATTAATCGCTGCTTTTGTGTTTATGGTCTCTAATGCTAAAATTATCAAAGAGAGATATTTGCATTAAATACAACATAAAACTTATCACTTTAACACTCACTAATTTGCTTTACAATTGTATTTAATCAACACCTTTTTTGTTCTCTTAGTTAATCACTTAAGAAATTAACAATTTATATCAAATAATATGTGTTTTTTGAACGTATATGTGCAAGAACGATTAAGGAGAAATCTAATACTTAAAATGGAATAGAGTCACTACAGGTACTGATATCTCCGTTCAAAACGGAAATGGCGACTTCGAACTAACTACCCAGTCTTCAGGTGGACATTAAGCTATTCAGCTTTCTGAAAGTAATCAATACTTTTTTTTAAAATCCGCATACTGCTTTTATTTTTGATAAGTCTATCATGCTCTCAATATCTAATTTCTGGAAACTATTTTAACTATTTAGCATAGCGTGATTAAATTGACTTGTTTTCAAAGTATTTCGCTCAATAAAATTTCGCATTTATTCCTAACGACATATAGGCGTACATAATTATTAAATCAGTGATTCTCAATCTTTTTTGCTCCATGCACTTCCTTCGCCATTGCTAGGCGATCATTCCACCCCGTCCATTCCAAAACTGAAAACACTTATACATTTATTTAAATTTAGACTTTAATGTGTTTCAAAATTAAACCAAAAAAAAAAAAAAAAGGATAAAAAATGTTGATAATAACCAAAACTCAAATAAAAGTAGTTTTTTTATATTTATAAAGTAAAACTAAATATATAAAAGGTTGACCATATTTCCCTCTCTCAAACTATGAATTTCCAGCCCTTGAAGGAATTCTCTCCTACTTAATTTTATACTTTTATACCTGAATTAAATACTTTTAGTGATCAATTATGTATATCTTAAACGTTTTAGGAATTAAGTTTGATTGGTTTCACAGACGGTAGTATATTTGGAATTGAAGCAGGCAGGTTCGCTTATTTGCGTGCGACAGTTTTTTTTTTTTATTTATTATTATTATTATTATTATTATTATTATTATCATTAAGGATGGGGAGTATATGGAAAGATATACAGCAATTGGAAGAAACTACAAACAAGTCACTTACAAATGCTAAAAAAGAGTAAATAAATAAATAAGAAGATATCGTGAATATATAATTATACCGCAAAGCAAAATGAAAATGTGCATAGAAAAGTTAAAATTTACTGAGATAAAAGCATATATATAATGCTTGTTTTTTTTTTTCAAAGAATATATTGTCAATAAAGGAAAATTATGTGAATAATTAATGCACTGTTAGTAAAAAAGTTAAATATTTTTATGAAGCTAATTTTATAAAATTAAAAAAAAATTTAAATGAGCGTATAAAGAATGTTTGGTTTTAAACAACACCCTGTCAATAACAAAAAAAATTATGAATGTTGTAATGTTTCAGTAGTGTAGAATTTCATCTAGCATGAAGCTGGGGTATCGTTTGTTATTAATAAAAATACTTTGCTATTAAATAATAAGAACATTCTAACTGAATTGTTATCCAGGCATATCTGTAAAAAAAAATTTTGTTTACTTTAGTGCAGAAATATGGGATAATATATACAGCATGAAAAATTTGTATAAATTCGGATTTGCCGCGCGATATGTTAGAGTCCTGTACATTTCAAAGATCACCTGCGAACTGAATTTACAAAGAAGCTTTACTTTAGAGAGAAGAATAAAAGCAAGCTATCATAGATCGGAAATTTTTTTTTCCCTTCCTTGTCAAGGAGGGGATTAAAACGCGTGCTGTTACAATGCACCAACATTGAAAACGCGGAAAATTAGGTAAAACCTTAAATACAAAGCATGAACCTAAAGCTCTCAGGCACAAACAGGAAGCTTTTTTTTTTTATCCTGTGCGTGTTTCGCATTTCAAAACTACGGTGCTGGAGTATATTATCTTAACCTGTTACTATCAAACAACCTACGGCTTCAAATACTTAGTAAAAAGTTTGACATGTTGTCCGAATTCATTACTACCGTAATCAATAACGAAAAAAATCTTTTTTGAGATATCTGGTGTCTAGAAACATGTTTCTGGTGTGCAGAAAATTTATTGCAGTGTTTCTTTTACGCAATTTTAAGTCTCTTTTACATGAGTTTATTTTATTTTAACTTATTCTGTCTACCGAATGTCGTAGAACTGTATTTAAAAGAACACTTCCTGGCTCAAAAATATATGCTTGAGATTGTTTAATGACCTTTTAATTTTCGCTAAAATTTTTCCTCTTATTTACGTTAAATTTGCATTTAAAAATCATAATAAAACACATTTTTGTAAAGAAAATTTCTGTTGGAAGCCATGAGCAAAATTACGTGACAAAGTGGAAGAATTTGTGAATCCTTTCGATGCACTTTTGTTAAGGCATTTGTGTCAGTATTTGAATAGGAACGAGCGAAGAAGACAATTTTGACAGCATAGTTGCTCAAGAAAAGAAAACTTCTAATGGCCTTTTTCGCCTTCAGTAATATTTCACAAATGTGTTCCTGATGAGATCAATCACTTGGGCAAGGTGTTAGAAGCTATGGATTACTCGATTAAATTGTGTTATATGAAAGGAGAGAAGGTTAGCACTTCCCTTGACAAGGACGGAATGGCCTCTGGGCCTAAACACAATGCAAATCTTCTGTGTATCCAAATCCTTTGTGAATCTTATATATATATATATATTATTACTAATATCCGATCAATAGCGATAATTACTTTTTTTTTTTTACTTTCTTTTTCAAAGTTTGACTTTCAAAGTATATATATATAATTTATTGACTAAAGAAATATTGATTATATTATCTCCTAAGATTAATATTAGTAGAATTATCTAAAAAGAAAACAGTTTTCGGAATTAAACTTACTAACTATGGATTCACTCTTTTTAGATAATTCTACTAAAATTACTCTTAGGAGATAATATAATCAATATTTCTTCAGTCAATAAATTATTATTAACTTAACTTTGCAGTAATTGCTCAAGTAGTAGAATAACTTGATTTAGCACTAAGTGAATTTAAGATCATACAACATTATATATATAATGTCAGCTACCTTTTTACTAATCTACAAGCTTAAGCTTTAAATTATGGTTAGTTAAGTTATGAGTTGGGGCAGACGTCTTTCACATATGTGGCCAAGTATTAAAGAGATAGCTCTTCAAATTATAATCATAGTTTATAGTTTTACATAAAAAAAGGGTTTACCTCAACCCCTCCTTTTGCCTCATAAGCCGTGGACCTTTATTTGAATCGGGAATAGAGGTAGCAGCCTAAACCAGTACTTTTCCTTCGACGTAAGTGTTCCTTGGAAAACGCTTCCTATTTTTACCGACAGTGCCTCTCTTGTAAATATACCGAGAATTTTTGGAAAACATGTACACATTTTCCCTATCAGTAATAAGACACAAGATGGCATAATGAATTATGTTACATACGTTTACTGATTTAAGCTGCGTTTAAGAATGTTAAGAGAATTTTGTAGTCTCAGTAAAAAATTTAATTATTATTTCAGTTTTTAGTATAGTAATTTAATTACGATTTTTCCAAATTAAATTTTCCATATAGGCAATCCAGATTTTTTCGGAATAGCCTCTTCCCACCATATGGAGGGAGGGTAACCTGAAATCTGTCGTCTAATCTTAAGGGGAAGACCAGGTGCTAAGACTTCCTAATGCCTTTCTCGAACCATTCCTGATTCCCGGTAGCTTGTATTTTGACTGGGATCGATCTTAACAATGGAGAGGCTAAAGTGGGGTGGATCTTCTGAGTAACGGGCACACGTTTCGGCCCCCACCCTTTAAAAAAATAAGGGGGAATCCTGATGCTTATGAATCTTTGTTGTACCGCGATCCAGATGGTAATGTCAGATGACTTGGCTCGGTAAGGCCATCTGTTCACCAGCCACACCTGCTCGCTTTTAGTTCTGCTTTGGTTTTCCTTTTCTCTCCCCCCAACCTCAAGGGGAGGAGTGCTTTACTTTTAAAGGTACTACCCCACCTTTAAGGTCGCAGCTACTGGCATGTAACGCATACGGGCTTAGTTTTGAAGGGGGCCCACCAAATACGGGAAAAGAGTTAGTACTCAAAGTATTTAGTTATTCGAATTTGCCAGTGCCGTCGAATTGATGAATTTCGATTACATAAACAGGAAAAATTTATAAAGTTCATTTAAAATTAAAATTTGCTTTTAAATTTGAAAAGAGTTAAAAATGCAAACGAAAATTTGTCTTAAGTTTAGCTGACCAATATTTAGCTAATTTGTTTTTAGTATGCCAAGCTTATTATTGGACGATTATATACCTCTAAATGTTCAGTTTCTGGAACATCGTAATCCAACACTAGCAATTTGTCCATAATCTGAAGCAGCGTAATATCTGCTGTGCCTAAAGCATATATCAAAAGGAATTAAGGAGACTATTTTCTGTAACTATTTGTTTTATTTGAAAATTTAAAAAATCGCTCATACATAGCATTTAAAGGGTGAGTAAAACAGCAAAACTATTCAAAACATAAAGCAGTAAGCAGACTATCAACATAGCTTATTCCAGCGGTTCTTAACCATTTTTTGCAACATGCAGGCCTTTCACCATTGCCATAAGATTATGCCTTTCCACACTTGATAAATATATGTATATATTTATTTAGATTTAAATTATTTTCTAATGTATTTTACAAATTAAACAACAGAAAGTATAGAAACTGACGGAAAATAACAAAACTTGAATAAAATTAGTTTTTTATATTTATAAATTAAAATTAAATGCTTAACAGCTGAACAAAATGCTCACCGCATTTGCCTCTGAAAGTATGAAATTCCCCTTAGGAGGAAATTCCGGCTGGAAGGGAATTCCTCCTGGCTGAGAATCCCTGGCCTATTGGGACGTTTTTCATCAAATGGTTCGTCCTGAAAGAATCCATGAATATATTTTTTTCCAGATTTAACGAAATTCCAGAAAAAAAAAAAAAAATACTATGTCTGCGGCTAACAGTTTATTAAGGTAATCAGTAAATCGTAGATATAATGATCTAACAATTGCTAGTAATACTGTTTAGTAAAGAAGTCTTGCAGTCTGTATATGTTGTTGAATGCATTAGCAACCAATGGCAATGCTAATTTAAATCACAATTCCCTTTTTTGAATCTGAGTTTCCTATTCCCAATATGCTGTTCAGGTGTTTCCGATACATGAGCATTCTTTTCCGTGCATTTCCTTCTGTCTGTTAATGATCGCCATGCCTTTTCGTTGAGTTCGAATTGAAAAGGTGTACGTTCAATATAAATTTAATCGTACACTCAACTGTTGAGTGATGTGTGACAGTTTTATATCAAAATTCGAAAAGAGAACCAATATTCAACGACATGATTCGAATAACTTAATTCATAAAAAGTCTCGGATTTAAGACATTTACTCTTCAGTATGGATATTTAAAAAAACTCATGCATCTTTTAGATTTTTTTCTTAACTTAAAATAGGATTATACTATATTTTAATAATAAAAATCTTTATGATTATAGTGTATTATAATATTAATAAAGATAAATATCTATAAAAATATACAACAAAACAACTCTGAATTTCTATGAAAAAATCAAACGAATTTGTACGAGGTACCTCATATAAGGCGTAAGAAATATATTTTATTAAATTAAAATAAAGCTACAGATATTCTAAAAAAATTATTGGTATTTTAAATTAAACCAGTTAATTAAATTATTCAAAAATAAAACAAAGATTTAAATTATTGGCTATATTGCTTTTAATAATTACCTTAGTTCTTTTTAAATTGCTTTGTTTTCTTAAGAAGTTACAGATTTATTTAATTTGAAGGATAAATTTAAAAACTAATATTTTGCTCAACTGCAGCAATCTGGGAAATGGGTATGCGGAGCCCGCAAGCAAAGTAAATTAAAGACATTAAATATTTCGTGAATTTCAACACTTGCGTAGGGCAATCAATGATAGAAACCACAGAGTTTCGAAACGGTTAAAAGTTTAAAAACACCGTTGGGAACGTTTCTAACATCAGAACATACAGAATCTTCAAAAACGTTAACGCAGGGTTCGCGGAATCCAAATTCTGTAGAAACCCAGATTCCACGGAAATGCTTGAATCTGCAAATAAAATAAATTAAAGAGCTTATGCTTCGCACAATGGCAACACCTACCTAACGTAGTGATGATATATACACATGGTAGATATCGCAACGTAATATAAATAACCAAAATTTTTGAAAACTCAACTATGGACTTTCTAAAGTCAAAAAGGTAAAGAAAATTTTTGAAAGCGTTCCATAGAATCGCAAGATTCCGAGGAATCTTAATTTCAAAGAAAGGCAGGGCTCCGCAGAATTCAGAGTTCGTTAAAACGTAGGGTTCCGCGGAATCCAGATTCCATACCAAAGTAGGGTTCCGCGAAATCTATTTTGAATGTCACACATTAAATGGTGCAATAAATATCAATTGCTTTTAATTTTAACTATTTCTTTTATTAAACTGGAACTAAAAATCAACCGAATCATGTATTAATTAAAGTATCATTAACTAAATCACACGCTATAAAATCTTAAATCTGTATTTATTCTTTGTAGCGGTATAAATAAGGGCAGAGGGAAGCGAATCTACAATTAATCTCTTTCCACGATCAAGTAAATAAATAAACATTTCTATAAAGAAGATTCCGAGTTTTTTTTTTTTTTTTTTTTTTTTAAAGGAGGAACATTCCCCCCTGCGGCTAAATTTCTGGGGATTAATGTCGTAGATTGTATTGCTGTTAAGTCTTTTTTCCCCTTTAAATCGAAGTAAGCTTTCCTCCTTCCGTAAGTTATGACCAGATACCTTTCTTTCCAGCCATCCTTTTTTTTTATCCATTTTATTTATTTCCGTGCAGTATGTTTCTTTTCATGTTAATTACCACGCTCGCACGGCACGCGGTGCTGCACGATCACATAAACCGATACAGCTCAACAGGTGAAGCCGGCAGAAAAAACTCGAATCATGAAACAATTCCATGTTAACACGGGTAAGCTATTATAACCCCGTAGAGGGGATGAGTACGCTCTGACAGATGATGCTGCTTCGGCGAATTTCGAACGCTAAGATCGAATAGGAAAAGGTCAAAAAGGAACACACTGCTATTTTTTCTACTTGTAGTCAGATGAAGTAATTACAGTGCTTTCAAAGAATGTAATGTGTTAGCCAAAAAGGAGGGAAGTTTTTTGCGGGGGAGGATTGATCTCATTCTCATTTTAATAATTATCCTCATTTTCTGAGCTACCATCTTCGGAAATGTCACGCATTATTATCGTTTTACTTTTTCTGTTAAGAGCATATTTCTTCTTTTTTTTTTTTATTTTCCATGTCTAAAATTTCCTTTAAGGTGTCGATCAATAAGAACAACAGCTTGTGACTTGAAACATGCTATCGATTTTATTTGTTTTTAATGAACGTCACGCATTTTCCTGGTGTAAGGGCCGTCAGTCAAAGTGTCAAGGGAGCACTGAAGGATACCAGAGAGTCAATGTGGTGCGATGTGTTAAACTGTCCATTCGATTTTAGAAGGAATGGTTCGAATTAATTCATCGACATTGGTATTTTGACAAGGGTTGAAAAAAGCTACGAAGAATAAAAAAAAAAAAAAAAAAAAAAAAATATTAATTCTAAATCCGTATATAAAGTTTTA